TATGTAATTTAAAAGCAAGCTTTTCTTTGTAAAAACTTCAATTGAATTTCAATAAAGTTAAAGGCATGGCCTCATCACTAATATTTAAAAAAAAAAAAAATATTTATAATTATAAAACTTATATTAAGTTTACTAAATATTATATATTATTAAATATAGTAATTTCTATTTTATTTTTATATAATTAACATATTTAATACTAAAAGTTTATTTTTTAAAAATAATTCAAAAATAAACTAATAAAAAATTTTGATATATCAAGTATTATAACTTTTTATTACCAAATTCATCTTTATATAACTGATTATATGTTTTATTAAATCTTATATATTAATATCTGTTAATAATATTAATTAATTAACTTATCATTTATCAGCAACATTTAATCATATTTTATTATACTATGTACTCATTTGTCAACAATATTATTCTAAAATAAAATTAATAAACAACCTAATTTGAAAGAATTAACAACATTGATTTTAATAAAAGTAAGTCAAAGTACTTATTTTTTGATAAAATTTCTTGAAAAAAAATAAGAATAAAATTTTTAACAAAATTATTTAAGGAAATATTAAATTAAAAAATATATTTCTAAATGTTTATCTTAAATTCTAATTTTTGTTTTTTCTAATTAAAACTATTATCATATTTTCTTTCAAAATAAACCTTCTGGTTTGAATATCAAACACATTAAAAAATTCACTCTAATAAAAAAAAACTTAACTCTAATGCAAACTATCTTAAATATATTTGCTTTTTAATGTTTATAACTTCATTAACAACAACCTACTTAATACAAACCAGAAAAAAAATTCACTAAAGAGCCTGAGTCTTCAACTTGCTTTTAGAAAATTTAATCCAAGTGATCATTAGAAAAAGTTGATTTTCTGAACATTATTATTTAATATATCTGACCTTTGTTAATTAGACAAGCTTTGAAATATGCCAAGTATAGTACTAAGCACTTATGATACATTTTAGTAATGTCGTTATTATTACACAAATTAATACTATTATTACACAATATATTTTGCATTTAACCTCAGTTCTCAATAATTTTAGCAATATGATTTTTTTGCATAAATTTATGAAAGGTTTTGTGTAACTATTTTATACTTTCTGTGCTGTATTTCTTGATTAAATTGATTATCATTAAACTCTGAATTGTGTGTATTTCTTGCATTAAAGTGATTAAAATTGCTATTATTTAAGTACTGAATGTGATACGTAACGCAAATTTGAAATACTCAAATAGTAAGGTGAAATGATTTGAAATTTTCATAAAAGATCAAATTCCAAATGATTAAGATAGTATTGAGTCAACTATATCATACATTCAAAAAATGGTTAAAAAAAGGGGATGCTGAATCGTATATAGGCAAATTTCGTGTAAATGATGCAAACTTACTTTGTCGGGACATTTCTGTTCAACTTCTTTCAATGAATGGTTGGTCATATGACCTGATTTCCTACATATTTATTTCATAACCAAAAAATAAGGTGAACTCTAGAAATGTAAATATAAACAACATAGAAGATAATTTACCAAAATAGAAAAACAAGATTATTTTCTTCAATCCTTTCGATCCATCCAACACGGTCAACGTCCCGTTCCCAATCTAAAGAATAAAATCTATCATCTAAATGAACTGAATCGGGTTTTTCATAGAAGCTAACAACTCTAGTATTCTCATCTTGAGTTGGAGAGCTTGGTTTGAATTCAGGTGCATATTGAAGTTCTTCGTCAGAGCTACTACTTTCCAAATAAAATGATGTCATGTTCTCCATTTTTTTTCTCAATAGCTTTTGAATTTTTGATCCCGATTTAGTACTAAAATTATCGGATTTTTTGTTTGTTGATGAAACTGCAGCATGTTTCGCCCGGTTTCTCAATGTCTGTTGGGTCTTTGATGAATCTGGTTTAAAATTCTTACAATCCCAGTATTCTTTAACTAATTCCGTGGCATGACTATTAAGGATATAAATAGATCATATGAGAATAGGATGTCGCTTAACTTTCCGACGGTCATTTTTCCCAATAAGCCATCTAACTTATCATCACACAGTGATAAATTAGCATTTTGTTAGCGCTAATCGTAGTTATTACTTTTTGTTAGTTGTATTTATTATTTTTTTGGTAAATTTTTACACATTGTGGTGTCGGTTAAATGGCCTGCATGGAAATGACCATCGAGAGATTGATACATAACAATGAGAATGCATTATATTTAAACAATAAGATATTTAAAGGCGACTTACACATCATTTGCATCAACCCAACTGTTATATTCCGCACTCCACCCTGCCCATTTAATAAGGAATTGTAACTTGCCCTTATAATAATGAAGGCATAAAAATAAGCGATTGAATAAAATAAAATAAAATAAATCATGAGCAAGTGTAAAAAAGTACAAGTTTGCTTGTCCTATGCTTTTCAATCCGTTCAACATCATAAAAATCACTAGACTCTTCATCATCCGATGAGACATTATTCTTTTCATTCTTCACATGCAAACCACCTAATTGATTTGGTTTAAAAATTAATGATAGCAATAGCGATAGGCCATAATTTTCATGAAAAAATTTTTGTTTACCAAATCCACTAATAATATTCGACTGCTCATCTTCACTGAGAACATCGACTATGAAAGTATCCATCGAATTATCTGTTTTGTTGCTAATATCACCATGGCTCGCAGGCAATTGCTCTTTACTTGAACGTGTGTTTTTATTTCCAATAAAGGTTTTAAATGACATTAAAATATCTAAATAACACTAAGTTTGACAGTTAATATCTTGCTAGAATATTAAAAAAAAATGTGTTAGATTAAAATTATGACATTTTACGATTCTTTTATTATATCCGTTTATAATTTTTTTTATAGAAAATAAGGTTATAATAAATTAGATAATCTAATGTTGAGAGTCAAATTATGTTTTATTTAGTAGTAAACATTTTAGACGCAAAGAATAAATTATTTGGTTACGAATTTGCATAGTATACTTATATAATTGCTTTTTTATTTTTAATTAATTGTCAGCGTCAGTTAATTGCGCATTCAAAGTCAATCACGTCTTATCAAATTAAGAAAATTTATAATAAATTTATTATATTTTTAGTATATAATTTAAAAAGAGATTTTATAAAAATACCCGTGGGGTATGTTACAGGGATTTTATCTTAATCTGCCTAATGATATTTGTTTATTACTTTTCGATATGTAATTAGTTAAACTTATTCACAATGCTTTTAAGAACATAATTCATGTAGTTAGTAATTTAATTCAATCTAAATTAGATATTATTATTTTAATACTTATAAAGTTTGTTTATAAATCTGGTGCTTAAAACTGTTTGAAGGCAATACTCATTTCAAGTACTCATTACTAATATCTTTCAGAATCAAATTATTTATTATAAAAAATTAGTCTAATGTATTTTTAACAGATTGTTCGAGAAATGTGATAATTTAGCAAAATAATAGAGTTGTGCATACTCAAATAGCAGATCAAGAGGTTGAATCTTATTGGTGATAAAATTTGAATAATTATTTATGTTACAGTAATTGGTTTTTGTTAATTAGTTATTTATTTATTTATTTATTAAGACCGATGTTAACGGCGGCTAATGCTTTTATTTGTGTTTTTAGTTAATACATTATATATTACTTGTACAGGGTAAGTGTACAATTAGCCACATGTGTAACTTTTGGTTACCTATTTAAGTAGTCCGCCCAAAGGTTCTACACTAGCTGTTATACTTATAATCTACTAGGAAATTATCTAATTAAATACTCTGGTTCCTATATTGTATTTAGGCAATTAGCATCTCAGTTCTAATCTAACATTATGTCTTCCTTTTTGTAAATCTGTCAAGACTTTATCCAATTTCAAAGCACATCATTTGACTGTAGGATTCAAGAAGTTTTTTTGTTAACTAATCTACTAATTCTATGAATCATTAACAGAGTTTGTCTTTACAGAGTTTACTTAAATTTCAGAACTTATTTCATAAAATATTTTTAATATTTTTAGTATACTTTTGTCTTTTCTTTAAACTTTTAATCTAGATATTTTAGTAAGATTATGACCAGTTCATTGATATATCAGATTGATTCAATATTTTTTTTTTCTAATTCTTTCAGTTAGAATTCTAGCAGTCTAATTGGCAATATCCTTGCCCAGAGGTTTTTACTAATCTAAATACTCTATATTGATATTTATTTTTTAGATTTAGTCTTTATAGTAATATTGTTGAAGATTTGTATTATTTCTTTACTTAAATCTTCCTAAATGGGTTTTTTGTTTTTTTTTAATTTCTATAGATTTATACAATTACAAAAACTTATTTTAAGTTTGTATCATCCAATACTAATTTGCATTTCTCTATATAACTAATTACACAAATATCTTATGACTTGCTAATTATATTAATATAATTATAATTACAGATATTATAATCTAATCGATAGAAACAGTTATTATAATATGAATATTACATAGGTAATTATCCAAATTTTTATTATTAATAGGGTTTAAACTCATAACTTACTATTTGGAAGGTTGACAAATTATTCACTTTACTAAATTATCATATCTTATTAATTAGTTAAAATAGAATACTTGTAGTTTAATTATATTAATAAAATTAAAAGATTATAAAACATTTTTATATAACAGAAATATTATATAAAAGAATACAAATTAGTTTTAGATAATGTAAACTCAAAATAAGTTTTATAATTGTTTAAAGAATCAGAAAGATAAAAGTTTATTTATCAAGATTTAAATAAGAAGATAATAACTATTTTTAATAGTAGTATTATAAAGATTAAATCTTAAGATGTAATAACTTAGTAAAGTAGATAAGTTGTCAATCCTTCAAATGATAAATTGTAAGTTCAAAATCTATTAATAATGAAAATTTAAACAATTACTTATATAATATATTATATTACAGTAACAGCATACTATTAATCAATTAGAATAAGATATCTATAAATATGGTTATATTAATCTAACTAACAGATTATAAAAATTTAGTTATACAAAAGAATGCAAATTAGTACCAAACAGTATAAACCTAAAAAATGTTTTTGTGGCTATATAAATTTATAAAACTAAAAAAAAACAATTCTTATGTGAGAAAATCTAAATAAAAAGATAATACAGATTTTTAATAATATTACTATAAAAATTAAATTTAAAAAAACAAATACTGATATAAAAAAATTAGATAGCTAAAAACTATAAATAAAGAGTATCTCTAACTAGTAATTTAAATTATTAGTTAAAAAATTAACTAGTTGATTAATAAAATTTTTACCAATTTAAATTACTACTTTCAATTAAACTACTAAAATTTTGACTTAAAAAAAAGCATATTAGACTGAATTTAATATACATATTAAAAACAAATTATAGACTATCTAAATCAGATGTCTAAAAACAAAACAAAATATATACTATAAGTACTAAGAATATGCTATAAAGTAGATACTAGAATTCAAATAAATTCTGCAAAAGCATAATCTTATTAATAGTTTATAGAATAAATAAGTTAGTTAACAAAAGGTGTTTTAAGTTTTACAGTTAAATAATATATTCTGAAATGGATAATAATCTAATAAATAAGACTTAATTTTTTTTTTTTAGTGTTAAGATGATCTTTTTGGTCTTTTGACTTTTATTAATCATTTATTGGTATTGTGGTTTAATAAACTATTACAGAAGAAAATATAATTGGCTACATGTATAACTTTTCTATATTACCTATTTAAGGAGTCCATTTAAAGATTCTTTACTAATTGCCATATCTAACATCTCTGCTTAAGTGTTCTAATTTAAACCCTTTGAACCTATAACCTGTGTTAACTTACTAAAATATACTCAGATGTTCAAATTATTATCTCAACCTTAGGACTAATTTATCCTTAAGGTAAACTCTCCAGAGCCTTCTGTACTTATTTTTACAACTAACTTAGGTATTATTTGTAGCAGAACTAACACTTGTAGTTAGGGCTTAAACATTAAGCTGCTATGCTCTTATAAAGTTCAATATCTACTTCACAGCATAATCTTGGTACTTTAGTATACCTCTGTCTTTTTACAAAACTTCTAATTCAGATAATCTATATAGGACTACAACCAGTCTATCAGTATATTGAATCAGCCTAATATCCTTTTTCTCTGGTTTATTCTGGCAGCCTGATTGGTAGTACCTTTGAGATTCTTAAACCAGAAGTTCGTACCTGTCTGGCTACTATGACTGTGTACTAGACCTTTGTATCTATTTTACCAGGCTAGTTTTTACAGTAGAGCTGTCAAAGATCTAGCTATCTTTCTATTCAGGTCTTTCCAAATGGACTTCTTGTTATATAATTTCAACAGATTTATATAGCTACAAAAACTTATTTAGTGTTTGCACTGCCTGATTTGTTAGTTTGCATTCTTCTGTATAACTTTAACATTGCACAGATGCCTTATAACCTGCCAGTTATGCTGGTGTGACTGCCATTACAGGTATCCTAACTCAATTATTAGTAACAGTTTCATAATATAAATATTATATAGGTGATTATCTAAATTTTCATTATTGATGAGATTTGAACACCTAACCTACCACTTGAGGGGTTAACAATCTGACCATTTCACTAGATCATCACACCCACAAATAAGATTTAATATTAGATTAGATAGCACTTAGTTATATAGAAACTAGGTAATTATTTATTTAATATAATGTAAGAATCAAAAAATATATATATATTTTATTAATATAATATTAAGTAGAAAAAAAAATAATATATAAATATACTAATTAGATATAATATATAACTAGAAAATTATTTTTAAACTATACTATTGTTGCTATATATGTTTAATTACATTTAGTATAATATTATTCTCTTATTTTCTGTTATTAGTCAAATTAACTATTGTTAATATTTAACTATATAAGGAGTAAAAAAAAATTTTAAAATTGTTAAATTAATAAAATCAAGTATATATACTAAAATTTTGAGACAGAATTTTAAAAATAAAAAATTTTATATTGGTATTGAAGATAAAAATAGTATTATTAAAGTTAGATAATTTTGAAATAAGAAAATAAATATTGTTTTTTTTTGTTAAGACAGTAATTTCTTATACTAATTCTTATTTATGTTGTTTAACATTTTAAGTTTGTCAAATAGTAGAGTTTTTTTTTTGAAGTTAAGGTAAGCTTTTGCTTATATCTTTATTAATTTGTTAAAGATGCTTTTAAAAACTTTTCTAGATATAAATTACAAAATCTATTCCAATTACAAATTTGTTACAAAAGTAAAACTCAGACTATAAAAAAAAACTAACTGTTATTTATCTAATTTATCTGCAATCTAAACCTACTAGAATAGTTAAAACTCACTTAGATTTAATAATATAAAATATTGTTTGTAAGATAACTATAAAGTATCTAATAGTTGAGCCATAAATTAATTTTATATAGAGTATAACCAAGTGGTAGGCAAGTATTTAAATCAGTATGTTTTAAGCTTAATAATCTATATAAATTGCAGTTGTACTATATAATTGATATCTATTAACATAGTATATATTTATGGTTAGTTTGTATAGATCTTTTTTATTAATTTTTAGTATGCTGTAGAATGTTGTTATTATTTTTCTATTGTATCAGTTTTGTACAATATAGTTTTCATATTTGATTATAAACTTTTTAAGACAACTTATATAGAATTTTTATAAAAATATTTTTTG